AAAGAAAGAAAGAAAGAAAGAAAGAAAGAAAGAAAGAAAGAAAGAAAGAAAGAAAGAAAGAAAGGCATCTTTATTTTAATTTATGTGTATATGTATGCCTTTTGTGTGAATGTATGCCATGTATGTTCAGGTGCTCCCGGAGGCCAGAAGAGGATGACTGATCCCCTGGAGCTGGAGTTACAAGCACTTATGGCCCTCCCATGTGGATGCTGGGAACTGAACTCAAGTCATTTACAAAGCAAGCACTCTTTACCCTGAATCGTCTCTCCAGCCCACCACTGGTACTTTTCACTATTGTTTATTTCCCTAGAGCAGGGACAATTGCACAGCACCTCTTTCTAGCAGCGCCCTGGGCACAGGACGCCTTTGGCACCAATAAAAGCTGAGATCTGGAAACCCAAAGTGGAGTCTATGGGCTGGTGCGCAACATTTTGCACTCGCACCACCAGGGGGCAGTAGGGCCCCGGCCTCCAGTCCCGGGTTAGCAGGCAGCCGGGAACAGAGACCTGAGCGCATTTCGAATTCCAACATTCCGATGCATCCTCTGGTGGCTTTCCTGGGAGTCCTTCACCCGCCCAGCTCCCGCTCCACCCAGACTAAGGAGGTTCCGGTAGAAAACAGCTTGCATTAAAACCCAGGAAGTGGGGGGAGGGGGGCTTTATTTTGTGTTTCACTCACAGGTTTTGCGGGTGGTTGTTAGTTTTCCAGTGAAGACTAAACAATTTTAATGGAGAAAGGTGGTTAATTCCATAGTCAGTATCAAGGATGGGCAGGATTTCAAGTTGCCATCGAAGAGAGCTGGCTCCTCCCTCTCCAGGCCTTCTGCTGATGCGGAGGGTAACTCTACCCTGGTTCTTTAAAGGGTTTGTCACTTCTGGACGAGGGTCCCAGCCTTCGCAGCCCTCGGGGTCTGCGCTCCTACTAGGGAAAAGAGAGAAAGGCCACCATCAGGGGCAAGAGCTATACCCAGGCGCGTGGGGGTGAAACGGTTTGTGCTCCAGGCCCCCAGCTCCTCTTCACTCTCCGGGTCACGTCTAAGACTTCGAGTTTGGGCTTGAGTGGCGCTCCAGGGGGACCAGAATGCACCTTTCCCTTCTCAGTGCCCAGGCGCTGCAGGGGCGGGTTGGGAGAGCGACAAGCTCTGGAAAGAGAGGCTCCTACCTTGTCCAGGCCGTTCTCCGAGGCCCGTCTCCGCGGGGGCCAGATCACCGCCAACTTTCCGTCTCCCCTGCTCGCTGTGGGGGAAGGGACGCTCAGCCGCGGCTGCCCCCCCCCCCGGGCGCTAGCTGGAGGATGGCCGCACCCCTTAAACACATACAGGTGTGCACCCCTCCCTCCCCGTGGAGGCCTCCACCCAGTTCTGGGGACCCAAGAACAGGAGTGAGGCAAACCCAGCATAGACAGGAGCCTGAAAACAATGGGGGACCCGAGAATGCCGGAAGCCAGCCAAGGTTCCAAGACAATGTGTGGTGGATCTGCTGGTGATCCTCACTCCAGGTGTGGGAGTGGAGAACAGAAGGTGACCCCCGAAGAATAGTTAAGGGTCCCGGGAGTCTGCAAGCCTACAGATGTAGGGCCACTGGAGGTGGAGACAGCGGGAGCTCTGGGACCCGGGGTGACGGGCTTACGGGTGAGGCTTGGCGCTGGCTCCTCGACCTCAGCGGCCCCGTAGATGCTGCGCCGCTGCAACTGCAGCTCCCGCTCGCGCTCGCGCACCTGGCGCACCTCCTGCTCCAGCAGTGACAGGGAAACAAGCGGCGGCGACTGCCCCAGCACCGGGC